TAATAGAAACACGATAAAATAAAAATATATAGTAGATGATCACCTATTTGTTACACACATTACCGTGTTTTACCAATTTTCCGGAGTGTTGCTACTGCCATGGTGTCAGGGGGCACGTCCTTTCCAACCGGTCCTCTGAAACAGAGAATAAACGCGTTTAAACCAAGCAATTACATTAAATTACAATTTCGTTACAAATAAATAACTATTGTACTCGAGGTGTGCCGTAAAAGATTGTAAATGGAATCAGAAATGCGTAAATACTACAGCGTAAATAAAGAAAATCGTGAAAACCGATCACTTTGTCCCGTAATATCGAATTAATTTACGATAATTTACTCGAAATTGAATAAATATTAAACGAAAGTAACGATAAAGAAATAACGAAGGCACTAATAGTTGGTATAAATAATTAGATGTGAAATGTAAAGATCACGTACACTTCGATGGGAGCGAATTCACTTCACGTCTTGTCACTGCAACTTGTGCGAGACGAATGACCCTTAGGACGTCTTTGACTGCTCGCGATGGGTTGATTCGGCTATCTTAGGGGCATTGTTATTGGAGGAAGCTGTCCTCCTCGCCCTACTTCAATTTCCAGTTTAACGAAATAGAATATTCAGTACCACATTATACGCCGGTACGACCTTTTTTTTTTGCGTATACCTTCGGTTAGCTCAACGAGCACTGACCCACCTCAAACAGAATAACAGACGCACAAGGACGATTTCTCAGAAATTTCATTTCGCAGCACTCTGATGGTCATAAACAATGTCAGAGCCATATGTTTCTGTGTGATGGTAAACTGTGTGACGCAACGTCACTAGCGCGTTGAACCGACAGAGAGCACCGATACTGCGGCACGTTCTTCCGTACTCTCTCGCTCGCACACCTCCCCCCATAGACCCCTGAAATTCCTCGGCACGCGTCACACCGACGGAGAGCACCGATACCGCATAAATATCATTTTTAACTAATTTGTTTAAGCGACGTGTTCCTTTTAAAGATTTAACTCTTCAGTATAAATCCCTAAGACCGTTATTTATTATTCATTTCATATCGTTAAATACGATTTTTGATTTTGATTAGTTGATTCATGTCGTACATACTTACCAAACATACGAATAGCGTCTAACTGGACCTCGACTTGCAATTGATAAAACGCATGAACATGAAAGACCGAGCATTAGCTAAACTCCATTTCAAACAAGAATAACTTCACGCTCAGACGAATTTTCGACCGTTCTGCGCAGCCACCACTACTGCCGACCGATTTGAAAGATTGTTATTCCTTCACTCTATTTTTCAGGAAAGGGTTACATATATCATACGGCAGAGAATGTCACCGTTCGTGTTAATAATACCACAGACAGGATATAAAATAGATTTAAACTGAAATTCTTTGCTCGAATTCAGACAATTGTGAGTAGGTAGCTCGACTCGACAGTTCCAAAACACGAAAACTCAAATTTCTGACAAATTTTGGTGACACCGACCGTAATAACTTTGAAACTTTTGACAACGATGTTGTAGTTTTCATTGTGGCAAGTGACTGTCAGATTGCTATAGTAGAGTGGTAAACCATTTTAAAAGGGTACAATGGAGTTGATCGCAATGTTTCCTCTAAAAATATTTTAATTGAAGTTCACAGAGTTTGGTAAAAAAAGAAACAATCGCGATAAAAAAGACGCATATAGTAAATTGATATTTTCCAGAAACAGTCTTGTAGTAATTGTACAAGTACATAAAATTCAGTGCCCGGGATGTGTGAATGCATTTAGGCTTCTGTTTAATCTTTCACGAAGACCGCCCGTTGACATGAACTTCTTGTTCCGATAGTTATTGACATCATTATGCGGACACATCGACATTTATTTTGTTTGTCCCGAATCGTTTCCATCCTCTCATAATCGAGCACTGAACCTGTTCAGAACGGACCGTGATTTATCCGCACGTTCTGACGATGATTTCGGTCCTGAAACGTTTCAGGGCAAATCGCTCCTGTACACCCTCTCCAGGCATCAGATCAGAGAACTTTGTTCCTCAGGCGCCCCAAGCTCTCTATTTCCGTTTCTAATACGTCCCCACGCTAAATAATACAAACGTAATATCAATTCGACCGTATGAATTTTCTCTGGTACCTAATAGAACAAGAAACCGTGAATTTATTGTACCTGTAGAAACTCCGGTGGTTTACGAGTGAAACCAACGCCAGCTGGCGTACCAGTTAGAATCACGTCTCCCGGTAGCAGAGTCATAAATCTAGAAGACAAGATTACGTATTCAATGAAGTTGCTATAGGCTATTTTTGTAATATTGTATTACTACAAAAGTAGCTCACTAGCTTTTGTTGTTATTACCTAATACCAACTACCTAGAGCGATTATTGCTGGAACTACCTAGTTCCAGCAATAATCGCGATATAATTCTAGAAACATCAAACCAAAATTAAATATGCTGGTCTAAAACGGTAGCTGAAACTTTCACTAAAAGTTTACTCACTGTGAAATGTAGGCAACAATCTCGTGGGGCTTGAAGATCAATTCACTGGTGTTTCCATCTTGCTTGATGTTACCATTTACCCATGTTTTTACAGACAAATTGTTGATGTCGCATACAGATTCTTTGGTGACCACAGCCGGCCCCAAGGGACAGAACGTGTCCATGGCTTTTCCCAGGAGGAACTGGCCGCCATTTCTCTTTGACTTTTGCCAGTCCCGCGCCGTAATATCCTGCGCCACTGTATAACCGAAAATACAATCCTCCCCTTCGTCATTTTTCAGTGCTTTACACTTTTTGCCGATTACTATCGCGAGTTCGGCCTCCCAGTCGACTTTCTGCCGGAATAATTACAAGAGAACCATCAATAAAAAGAGTACATCCCTCGGTATTCTCAGTTCCGAATCCTTTAACCACGTACCATGCTGGTAATTAAAGGTATGAGTATGTATATTGAAAACGAAAGTGCCAGAATACACTCAAGAGAAACACGACAAGTATGGGGTCTATGTGATTTAACTAATCGACTCACTGAACATCCTCTGTTAATAAAAATCTATTGTTGAATGTTAATATGCAACTTATCCGCAATTCAGTGATTAGTAACGGTCATACTAGTATATTCGATATTGAAAGTCTGTTAGCTGTGAGTTACATCCAGTAAGTTATATTTCAACAAACGGGCAAAAGGAAAAAATGGGGGAATACCGCTACTGTTCCTCCGCTAAAACAGAGTATTCAGTCTACAAGTGAAACGATAGACTCGAATTCGAATCCAGTAAATCCGGATTGATTCTTCCCTTCTTTCTCTCTGTACGATTAGATGCTTCTATTTATAACTTTCGAAAGTCCGTTAACGCGTTGCATAATCGACGCGACTAAATATAAACGGTCACGAGTGTTACTGTGCCGCCTTCACAGACTAAAATCACGCTGTCGCTCTTGAACTTACTTCCGAAATCGGGGGTAGCATAATGTTGTCGCGCGGGCCAATAATGTTGCTCGGGAATTTGCTAAAAACTACTGGCGATTCCGGCGGCGATAGACCTTGCTCTTTGCAGTGGCCGCTATAGTTAAGCCCGACACACGCCAATTTGTCCATCCGTGTTACTGGCGCCAGAAAGTTCACGTCTGCTTCTGGTATGATGCTTCGTCCCTCGGCCACTATTCTATAAATCAATCGTTAATCTTTCATTGTTTCGTCGACAAAGTCTAGTATTCTTCTAAATTCTCTATCTCAATATCATGATTAGCATAAGTAGCCATTAATTGGTGGGGTATAATTTTGTTAGTGAAATTATATTCGTTGTAGTCACGAGTACCGAGAACATTTGTTTGTGAATTTGTTGTGCTTTAGTGTTTTTAACGGGGAGAACACCATGCACGTGGTGTGTTTGTGTATGTACAGTATTTTTTTTTTTACGAACATCTTACAATTCGTCAAATTGTCTCTTAAGTACTCCTCGGGAGTACATGGGAAAACAGCGGCAAGTCCCGAAACATGCTTATCGTCTGTTGATACGGTCGTTATCTTAAGAGATCAGGAACATTAATGAAGAATATACAGCATAAAGTACAAAATTGTAATGTGACGTGGAGGCACGTACATGAAAAGGTAGAACCTCTTTAACATCGACGGTTCCTTTAACAAAAATGACAAATTCATTCTAACGATTCTAATTCTGTTAATGGCATCACGTAAAATAGTTGTAAAATGATGTGTAATCGTTACAAAAATCTTCATATGATATACAGAAGATCAAAACGATATGCACCATATAATCTAACGACGACTTCTGAAACTACCATTCTAAGTATCAACACTGATTCATCAGAATCGTATCCTCTAAAAACTCTAAACGTATCAAGCAATATTTTCAAATTGCATTCCATCAGAGTAGTAACGCGAGAATCGAACAGGTGCAGAGTTACCTGGGTTGTATTACGTAAATAAAAAACTAGTGGAGATATCCCTGGCTGTTGATTGAGAACGGACAAATTACGGAAACAAGACCGAGCAACACGCGACAGTTGGTTCTTCCAATTATGATGTAACAGGATATGATAGAGTAAATGATACCGAAGATTTGATTTATGTTACCAACGCGGTAAGGAGATTTATCGAGTGGTATGATCGTTGATCGGAATCATTAACCGCCGTCGAAGATTATCTGTAAAAACGTTCGGAATATAAGTCAATTATTCACGCGAAATACATATAGCTCTTTATCTTGCAAACAAAAGCTTCGATAAGATTCGCGGCAGCAAACGAACCCTCATACGGTTGTAATTAGGTACAGCTGGTTCGACAAAGTTTAGTTTATAATATATTAGTTATTAAAGATCGTTAAACAATTGTACACCGGATGGACCATAAGTCTCCGATGTGTAACAAGTTTTTAAAAGCGTGTAGTAAGTTACTTTTTGCTTACGCGGTTCGATTCTGTGTCTCATGTTATACACACAACGTGTATGGTTTTCATATTCGAACTAGGGATACACAGACATAAGAAAATTAATATTCATACGAAGAAAGGCGTGTCAGGGGTTCACAATTAACAAAAATAATTGTCACACTTCCAATGAAACGAACCTTTCTATCGTAGCCCACAGGTCGATATCGTCTTCCCTGGTGAAAAAATGATTCTACGTTGAAACAAAAGGTGGAATAATAATTTTAAGTACAGATCTATCAATGCTATTTTGCCTGTCTACAAGCATCATGATTTCACGGACCATAGTTAGTGGAAATTCTTCGTTTGTATGATTTAAAAAAAAGCCATTTTATTAAAAAATGATTGCGTTAAAAGTTATAACCTACGTACAGGGTGGCTTGAAAGTTGGAAACAGATCATATTAACATAATGGGCTGCGTATGTCTCAGTGAAATTTACATGAATCACCCTGTACATGTACATGTACACCACGCCCATATGTCAGTAATTAATTAAATTTTCGTCGATCTTATCGCCAGCCGCAATGAATCGTTTTGTTTGATTTTGCCTTAATAATGTATACATCATTTCTCTATCAATCAATGGGCTCGGCGCGACAGTTGGCGATACGGATATGCTTATCACGAGTTTGCCCATTTGTCCGGACGTTGTTTCGCCATGCCTACCTTTTGGCCTTTTTCAAAAGGTCATCGCCACCTTCGAGGAACTTTTTCAACGTGTTGGGGATCCGCGAGTCGACCGCGGACACGGCAATTATGTCACCACCCTGTTTCAATTGCACCCCTAAGTGCTGGGGTCCCCCGTTCTTGCTGACGAACTGCACGAACCTGAAGAAAAAACGACAGAACATATTTGAAATATCGTAATTTCTTATCACCAACATTTCACGGCTTTCAGAAGTTTCTAAGTGTGTAAAATATCTCCAGAAACTTAAGGTTTGGTCAATCAATATTAGAACGCCCTCCACAATGTGGAAGAATATTTCATTTTATATTTCAATTTTCTGATGTTTTCCTTATATTGTTATTCGTAGTATACGCCGCTGGTTGTGCTAAACAGGTTTCCGTGAAAGTGAAGACTTAATTCGTCTTCGGTGTTCACTTGTGTCTGTTGAAGAACAGAAAAACTACCAAGGTCGCTCATTACTATACTGGACACGTAGTGTCTACGAGGCATATATTACGAGTATCCCAAAAAAATATTTCAATGGAGATTATATTTTTCAAGTGGCAAAGCCCTGAATGTAGGAAATTTAGTTTATAAAAATATATATAATATATTAATAATTCTTATTAATACTATGGTTTCATTTGTGTGCCTCATATTTCATATTTGCCCTAACTTAATAGTACATACGCTTATATACTTCGACCAACAATTCAAGCCGGAGTATACAAACTAGAAGTACGAATTCGTGTTAATGAACGCCTCCTCAAACGGCACGTATTGCATATGCCAGTCAGTGACTTCACGAGTTTGGCTATCGATCAGGTGGAAGAACCTTAAGAACTTGTCGGGAATTAATTATACACATGGAGGACCATTACATTGTAACGTTAATAGAGTACTTTTCCGTGTAATGTGAAATATGAAGTAAAAATTAATTAGGTGATTGTCTACTGAATTTGGAACACCTATCCCCTCCAAACACACTACTGAATCGAACTATCTTACATTTTTTCAGAATTTTGTAATGTACGATTCGAACGAAAATATGAATGCAATCGTCTACTAACATGAGATATTTTCGAAACAAATAAATTCCCGGTCTTGATACCATAGGAGAGTAAACAAAAAGACATGTAGAGTGAAAGCACCATACACAATAAAAAATTCTGCGCGAAGTCCGACTATCATTGAGTTTCACATCATTCTTTAAAGCCGGTCTTTTTACGGTTATTTTTAGATATTATCGTACTGTTTATCGTCTTGAAATTCATGCATAAGTTTGGCTCACCTCATGTCGAGCGTGCTGCTTACAGAGAAATTCCTGCCGGGAATGCTAGCAGCGAAATGTGTGCTGCTCTTCTCGGCGCACGAGTTTCTGAATGCGAAGCAGGCCCTGCTAAGCAATCGCAATTTGCCACGATAAGGCATTTTTTTCGATGGTAAGGTTACTTTATAAAAAAGGGGTATCGCCGGCAACCAACAAACACGAGATATTCGTCGTGAAGGACGAACTACATACGACTGAACGCGTTACGTTACGCCACTCTAGCGTTCCTCCAACCATGGAGGGGCTAACCACGTGACCCCGACAGAAAGGAATTCGGCTTTAAATGCAGTCGATGATCGATTTGGTTGTGATTACCGTGCGCAATAACAAAGAATTGCTGGTATTACTTGATAAAAAATGAAATTTGATAACATATTGCCTTTTTTTAATATTTGAAAGCAAAATGTAAAATGATAGTGACCATGATCGATTGGACAGCTATAGGATAGACTATTGTCTGGTACCGGTATTCTTCCGGTTACCTCACAGTGAAATTTGGAGAATTGAATGTTGAAATGTTTCGGTACAGTTTGTGACTTACACCTCTCTTTAAAAGAAATAAAAATTTGATTTTATAAATTACATCGAAATACCTACTACTTTTAATAAAATTATTAAAATATAATTGGATATCGATCCTAAAGTCCTCGATCGATAATCAAACCTTTGTTCATTGGGTTCTTATAAATGAAGAATGTGCTTTACTTTGGTACATGTTTTTAAATACAGATATCCAATACATGCCTATAACAAGCATATGCAATTCAGTTACTTAAGGTAGTGGTTTCTTTCTTGTGTAAGGGAATTCTTCACGTTGATGATATGGATTGTAGGGATCATCTACATAGTATCGTGGTCTTTTCCAGTACATTGTTACCATCTTATCCAGCAAAGTAGATTGTGTTGCATTAACAAAGACATGTCGCTTTAACCTGCTTTTTCTATTTAAACTCTTTGTCCACATTTTTGAAGTACGTCCAGCATGTGGTCTGATCCATATACCCCTGTTATTAAGTAAAGTACGTTAACAGTAATCGTAGATATCAAAGTAAATATATGGTATTTAAATCTTACCAATTTAATCTATAAAATCGTTTAGTTACAGCTTTTACAGTCTTCCTTTTGCCGTTTTTGAGGGAGAACTTTATAACTGTTCTTGCAGGTGTTATAACAGGTAAGGTCATTGGAATTATGACATTTCCTTTATGGGTCTGACTGTGAATTTTCATTAAATTATCTATTACATTTCCTGTTTAATACTTTACATTTTCAACTAACAATCATACCTCAGTACTGTTTTTTGCTCAATGTTGCCAACATTGTTCCATCTGTTGAGAATAGAAGAAAGTGCACCAAAGTATCTTTGTTGCACATTTTGAATAAGAGGACTCTGCTTACGAATTAAAGCATTTGTCAAATTAGCCACATTAGGACGAGTAACAATCCCTAAAACAAATTAAACAAAACAAACATCAAAATCATTTTAATGTGAGATTTCCGAGGTTTCAATTAACGCGCTTTCGGTTCAGTTCCGGCATTTCTTGTGTCAACCGAAGTGGTTCTTCCACTTAGACGAACATAACCTATAAGATATGAACTTATGCCAATATCAGGTAGCGGTTTATCGAATTTAATCGACTAATGAATTAAAATGATGCCAACGGGCTACTGCTTAGTTAAAGAGAGGCAGTGGTGGTAAAATCACGAAAAGCGGACACTACGTACCTTGAAACGCGGTACTAACAATACGCAGCATTCTTCTTTTCGTCAGGTTCCGTCGGTGACCAGCTGTTTTGTGCCGTCGTTCCCTTTTTCCTTTGGCTGCCTGATCGGCCACCCGAAAGATGTTCCGAATTGGATTAAAATTTCCGTGCAACGGTCTAAACAGGGTACGTGAAGTAAGTACGAGTAAATCGTCGTGTTTGTGCGGGTTCAGTGTTTTAGCGGCACGCAAGTTTAAGGAAAAATACAAATGAAATGTGGATAAAGAACGTTTGGCACTCCGTGCCCACTGATTATTGCCGCGACGTTTCTCTTGATAATATTTAATTTCCTGTCATTGTTTCTGACTGTCTTTGCGAGAAACAGTCTGTGGTTCGAATAAGAAATCGTAGTTGTGTCATATTGAGAACGTTTTCGCGAGTTGTCAGTGAATATTCTCGTGGACAAGACCAAGGTTGCCCACCTCGTGTGACAAGATGGCTTAAAATTAGGAGCTTACATAATTCCAGAGGATTTCATTGACACCGTTGTCCTTGCAGGTCAAAAAACACGGTTCCACCACACTCTGCTTGTCAACCAGGTGCTACGAAACACGTACGCGAGTCAAATGCGAGCCGGAATGGAGGTAAGTAAACGAATTTTCTGTCTGTTTGGTTACACATTTTTACAGTTGTCAAAGGTGTCATTGTCTCTAAGGAAATGAATCATTTGGTTCTTTCTCTTTTTTGCGTCTTCAAGTACTTATTTAGACAAATAATTATAAGATTCTTATTTGTTCTAAGTCAACTTTGGGTTAGGTTTAGATTGGGTTAGGTCTGACACATATATGTATCTCATTTGAATCAATCATACAATTTTTTAAACCTAAAAATAAACTTACATATATTTCGTTGTGTAATATTGAGATGCATGTTTTGAATTTTAAATTGATCTGGGGAAATGAGAATACTTTATGCGAGCTCAGTTGTATGTTTTAGGTTTTTCAGGGATGTCAAACTTACGTCCAGAATATCTGGACATAGGTATTCAACCGACTCATCAAAGAGGTATTCAGAATTTGGATCTAAATGTAATGTTCCTTATGTGTTACATAAGAAAATTGCATGCATGTTTTGTTTTGGCGCAAGAAATTATTTTCCTTTGGTTGTTAATATTATTATAACAGGTTTAAGCACTGGTAATAAAATATATATATTGTTAGCACCATCCGTTATGCACTGTTTTAACTTTAAAGGCAATGTATTTACTTATAAATGTATACATAAACAACTGTAAATTTATGATTTTGAGTATTTATAAGCTTCTTATAATTTATTCATTGTAAATCAATTTCAGTCTCTATTTTCTTGTTATTTGTTATGCTGTATGAATTAATATTCTATTGAAATGTATATTAAACATATTTAATCATTTCTTCTAAAAAGTGAAAAGAGTCGTGGTGGAGGAGCTTTGTTAACTCTGACTGCTGTGGCAATAGGAGCTTCAGGAGTATTATTTTATGCAAAAAATAATCCAGAATTCCGTGCGACTCTTGAGGGATGGATACCAGGCACGGACAAAACAATTCAGATCATCTTTCAGGAGGAGTCATCCTATTTGGAGTTCATTCGTACATTCTTTGAAACACTCAAACAAACGTAAGTTCAAATAATGTAAAATAGGAACAGTAATGTAATTGAAGTTTTCTTTTCAGGATAATAACAACGATTTTCGGAGATGGTTCAGAAAAAGAAACAGGTCAGCCATTTGAAAAACGTATTGATTGCATGAATCTTCAAGATTACATACGTGAGCTCCTCAACATTCCTTTCCTCCAGTTTCTTTTCCCTTTAATTGCTAAGCATAAAGAAATAAATTTTTCTATAAAAATGTGTTATTTCTAGTCACAATTATTTTGCTTACTAACAATTGATAATAACATGTGTACTGTAGCGCCAAAACCAGCATTTGTACCACTGGTCGATAAGAAGGAACCACCTATTAATGAACCTTATACTGAAATAAGATTAAGTAAAGGGGAAGAAATCGAAGTTGGTATGTTTTCTTTTGTGTAGTACATGATTTATATAATCTGAATTTTCTAGACTGACGTAAAAATAAATAAATGTACGTGACGTATGTTTAGTCGCTGAGAAGCCTACACCACCTAGTAAAGATGTGCCTAAAGAACTGATGCCAGAAAGTCTGGTGGATCTGGAAACCTCGTGTGGTCAAACTGCATCCAAAGCGATCCAGGCTTATCTCCAAGCAACATGCGCTATTCAAGACTATAATCAAGATGTAATAAAAGTCGTGGAGAGTGTCGATAGCGCCGGTAGCGTAGTATGGCACAGGTAAATTCCTTGAAAATTACTTTATACCGTCTGTCCAGTTTGATAAACGCAATCCAATATTTTTATATTACAGATTAAAAGAGGCATCGGAAAAGAGGAAAAAATCGATTCAGGAGGCGGAGGGACGCGCGAACGAGGCAGTGGATTCTCTGAAGAAGATGATGTTTCTAATTGATGATCCTAAATTCGAGGCACCGTCGCATATGAAAACAGCCGCCAAGAGAAATATTAAGAAAATCGTGGCCGATGTCGATGATGCTAAGAAGAAATATGAGACGGAAGTGCAAAGCGCTAACTTAGCGGAGCGTTATTGGAACCAGGTTAAATCCGCCCGTGAAAATCTTAACGAGGAGCTGCAGATCCTATTCCCGGATATTAATATCCATGAAAAGAAGTTAGCCATTGATGAAGACTCGTTTGATTTATTCGTCCTCCATATGTATAATAAAGTGAATAGTCTTCAGAAGGAATTAGCGAGGATGAGGGTAAGTGTTTCTCACCTTTTCAGACATTCGATCCTTCAATTTCTTAATATTTATACGCATGTGCTTATTTTAATGTTACAGACAGTCAATGAGGGTAAATTGAAGGCAGCGTTGAATGCGACCGGCGATACAGCTACCCAAGAGAAACTGGACACGTTAGTGTGCCTGGAGCTGGAGAAAGAGAAGTTAATACTCGAGGAGGAGTTGAGTAAAAAGGTAGAAAAATTAACCGTACTGTCGTTTAAGTGCCTAATACAGGGAATGACTAACTTTTACGGTTCGAGTGAAGTATACGCGGTTTCTATGCGGCAGTATCGCGGTCGCATTAATTCGTTTATTTCGTCGTATATCTGAATGAAATAAAGCAAAACTTTTAGATAAAGCTGAAAAAGATTCGAAGCTCGCCTATGGCGCGGTGATAACTCATATGTGTTACCGCGGAAATTCAAATTTATGTTTTCACGTGCTTACCGTTAGAGAATTATTGCAGCCGCGGGAATATTTAGACCGCATCCAAAATAAAACGCGAATCACTTCGGACTGTACGTATAAAAGTTGAAATTACCGTGATATTCTATATAGGGTATCGAAACGAATTCAAGCAGCGTGTTATTTTCTCCATTACGCACCATACTCTGGCTCATAATAAGGAAGCACGTAAAAATTATGTATAACGTAGTAGGATCAATGCCATGTAAAATTACAGATATAAATATTACAAATTACGTACAAGCTTAGAGATGCAATTCCCTTTTACATCTAGAATACATACATTCATGCAAACTCACCGTTTCTACAACTTCTCTCGTAACAAGTATTTTAGTAGATTGGTATAATTAAACTTTATTTTTAATTGGACATGATAAATGTATAAACACCCATCGCCCAGTTACATTTCGGGCTCAGGATATCCGGTCTGTAGATATACTCGGGGAGATAAAAGGCATCACTTTGATTCTGTTCTGACGTGCATACAGGGTGTCATACAAATAAACGGTTTAGTGACCACATGGTTACAGATTTTATTATCGTTTTGCAATTAGACAATTTGTCACGGAACAGAGTGAAAAAGGGGCGTGCAATATTCAATATGCTTCCGGAGGTATAGGTCGTTCCTTTTTATCCAGTCGGTGTACAGAAGCGTTTTATGGTACACATGAAGGGTTTGGCATTCGAAAAAGCCGGGGTATACTGTCGCTGGCATTATGTATGCATACACATGGGGATGTGGCGTATCCCATATCCTGCAATTGTGCATGTACCTGTCTATATCAGTCGTTTTGGCACGGGGCGAGTGGGGCTCGCGCGGGGTTCTGCAACTCTTTGGCTTTTTATCTATTTCCATTTGGCCGGTGGCCAACATTTCGCCAGTGGAAGGCAATATTATCTTTTTAGACTAGCCACCGCGATATATCCGACGTGTACCGGACCAAGGTATCGCGAGGAAACCACTATGACCCGCGCTGTCGTCATAGTTGTCTTTGCCGATCTATACCAGACACGTCCCACGCTCTCGATTTCCTCGGGAGTAATGACATTCTGACTACTTCGTGGCACTCGCAAAGTAGATATACGTATACAAGGTGGGCCAAATGTCACTAGCCATTTCAATGCTCACTGAAACGTCAATACATACTGGATTGGTTCACTGGAGGGTATGGAAGACGATAGGTGATAACTTTCGGCCCATCCTGTACAGTGTAAGCGATAAAGGGAACCCGGCGATTTTTTCTTTCAAATTTCCGTACTGAAAATTGCCGAATCGGAAAATTATACTCCCGTCTGAATATTATACGTATTTAAGTACATTCGAATGGATAAATTAGTTTTGTGTAGCAATTTATGGGAATTTTGGAAAAAGGAATTGTACAGTCTGGGGTGTGCAAGACGTAAAGAAAAAACTGTTTCGTATAGGCGATGAAAAGGGACGCGAGTAGAGTTGAAATCACGCGGAACAGGAAGCACCGACCGAGTTGGTCTTCAACGATTCTTAACCGCCTCACTTTACGATCCGCCATGCTTTTTTACGACTTTCGCGTCACGAGGAAACTCGCCGAACGGCGGTATGAAAGTCTTAAACGACGACCCGGAGGACTTTCCAGATTATTCACGAACGGACCTAACCCTTCCTGTTCCGCGGTTAAAAGTGGTCCGATGAAATTTTCATCGATCGTTCACCAACTCGCGAACTTCCGTCCCCCCCCTCCCCTCACTGGGTCGCTGTTAAATATGTAACCCCGAACACGTATTTCCGGCAATTATCATTTCAAATATATTCGTTTAATCGGCGGCCATTCAGGCGGCGCGAATTCGACGTAACGTCAGAAACGCGGGGGTTATTACGGGATTAAATAAACATTGCCGTGCCTCTTATTCAAACGGGATGAATTCGGTTACTCCCGACGGGTTTTAATCATGCATCGGACGTTGTGCGGTTCGAAATCGACGTGAAATAACTCAGAGCCTGTAACGTACCTATCTTTCGGCAAACACAGAATTCCACCGATCTTTACTCTATCGTTTTCAATTCGTAATCCCGCTCCATTGTTCGCGCACGAGGTAATGATGATTAACATCACACGACCGTCAAACTTTCTTCCGTTTTCCATCGATCGTGGTCGTATCTCGAATTCCTTTTTTCAATTTTACACACTGGAAACAATATGGGAGTCGAGAGCACACTATTTTTCATGGTCATGTACCAGAAAATCACTGAACATTATAAGGCAGGCCTGACCTAGTCATCTTTGAGTACATTATACTTATCGATATTTTTTTGGAAAAGGATAATAATTTTCGCGAGAACCTGCTACTGTTATACAGCTAAAAATATTATTCAATACACTGTACCCGTATTTTGTAGTATTTCCACGAGTAGCAGAGTTGTTCGAGGCATTTTTACGCCGTCTGAGGAATTACCGAGGCTTCGATAATCGTGGTTCGGGTAACAAAGAAGGGATTTCGTAACTCGATCTCGAGAACCGTGGATTCTTGCCTGGAAATTGTCGTCCCGGGCTTTGTTTCGTTCGGATCCTATTGTCGGACGGAAGAACGGACCGTTTCCACGTCTCGAGTTTTCGTGTCGTAAACTTTCATGGAAATCGTGAGATTCGACCGGAGTCGTTAATAGCTTTAAATCCTTTTCCTTCCTTCGTTCGCCGTGCTTTCTGATACGTCGATTGGCAGTTAATCCACGATTTCTCGAAAATTGCTATTCGATACCGTTCGACGTCGATTTCTCTCTACTGGAATCAGTGCTGTATCGTAAGTCGTCTGAAGCTAGAAATATGTCTCGTAGTAGCTGAACAAATCAACTTCTCGAAATAAGCACTGCGTAAATCAGATTGATAATACTACAGACATTGTTGTCGGAACAATACATATCACGATATATAAAATACATAAAAAAAGGATACCTTTAAAATTGTAAAATAGAAAAATTTATGAAAAAGAAATGGAACTTATCGGTAGTGTTTCGTAGAAGGTCTGGGGTGTCTGATCACGGACGGTGCACTGTCACTGGGAGCTCACAGAGTTTCCACTTAATCATTGCAAGACTCATTAGACATTTTTGTAACAATATAATACATGTATTATCGAACAAATACATGCCAGAAGTCGAGGAATTTTCTATTCCCCGTGATATGTGAGACGGGTCCCCTCTGAATTTTGGGAACTAAAAAAAACGAAACTGCATGAAAATAGAGGGAAACGAAACGAAAAACAAAAAAAATATGATTTCTGACACCCCGGCGGTGTTTCCCACGCCGCGAAAATTAAATTAATCGGACGGCTGGCCGTGTACAGAAACGAAGGAAAAAAAATTGGCCGGGACAAAGCCTGTTTTCATCCCGTGAACGGAACGATCTGCCACCGTATACGTCGGCTAAGCCGGTGCATCGATCTCTAATCCGTTTTGGAAAAAATACAAAAAAAAAATCAAAAACCGTCTGCGTGTCCACCTGCCGCGAGCTGGATTGTCTAAATCCAATGGAAATAGAGCGCAGCATGGTCGGGGGCTCTCGGTTTAAATTATCCGATCGACGCGACGGTTCGCGCGTTGTCATCGTAGCGATCCCCAAATATTTTCCTCTCGCGATGACTTTGATTTCTACGCGAGCTATTCAATTTCGAGATAGTCGATCGACACGAATCGTTGGATGAAGAATAAACGATTGTATCCAAACGATGAATCGAATTTAGGAACAGCGTAGTGAACTATTTCCAAGATTTTTTTCGCTGGAAAACAAATGAATCGTCGTGGATTTCGATCGAGCGTTTCCGGGGGCGCGAATTCATCGTGCATAGGGTGGAGTTCCCGAGTTTCTCCTTAATTCAAGAAGAGTCGTCTTTCGATTTCAACACTCCCTGGTTGTTCGCAGCGGAACTTTTGGATTTCGTGAGCTTCGTCGAACTCGTGTCGAAAGACGGTGATCGACGGTTTTCAACGCCTCTGGGTCGAGTTTCCTTGGCTGGATCCTTGGCTCGGAAGGGTCGAGTTTAATAACACGAAACTGATGGCCGACGATCGATACGTCCATTTCCGATCGACGACGGTTGAAAAGACATCCGGCCGTGATAGTTTCAGTTCGAGGAGTTCGGTCTTGGGTGTCGATAGCTGCGATTCCCCAATCCTCGATACCAGTCGATATTTTAATATTCAACGCTTCACCTCTCTCTATCGAATTGTTCCCGAGTTTCTCCTTGATTCAATAAAGGGGATGTTTTGAATGAAAGCACGGAAGAGGAAGTCTTTCCGGCCGATCTCTTTGGAAATTTCCTACTTTTGTCTCCGTTACTGCTCCCCCTTGATGCTCCCATTCGGATCTATTAGGTCATCCTGTATAAATTGTGCGTCTGGTATGAGAGTTGCGTTTGAAAATTCACAAATGTATACAGAATAGTTCAGTTATTACAGACGTTTAACGTAGTTCGTGTGCTGTGTCATGTAAGTTTAAGAAATGGAATTGTAGCGTGGAACAGATTCCGAGTGTATGGTGACGTTATTAGAGCGAATCAGTGGTAAAAACAGGTTGAAGAAATTACAAGCAGTTCTTAATGACGACCCTCGTCTCGAGAAGCTTATAGAACTGTATAAAGACACTTGAAGAGTTTCTACTGAACAAGATTCTTCGGTAGCCGTTGAAGAACTGGCACAGAAGCTGAAGATGTATTATCCCTTAATGACCGACAAAAAATTGTTCTTTCTCACCAATATAAATGTGGAGAAAACTGTGTTAATTACGAGGGGACATAATACGGGGGGGGGGGGGTAAAATTACCATTAGTTTTAGATAGAATGTGTTGATTTTAATAAATATTTCTAGATGGTATACAGAAAGATTGTAACGTACTAAGAGGGTTAAATCCCCGAAAGCCATACGGAAGTATCGTTAAAAGTAAATGGACGATAAGTTTCCATTGTGTAACTTCACAGAATTTTCGTAAGAAGTCGTCCATTAAACTTTTTTCTGGATCAACGAGTACCCAAGAGCTGGTAGCTGTCGGTACAGCCAGCGTGTTAATGGAGAATCCAGGATAAATCAGCCCTCATCTCCTCGAACATCGATCTCGATGATCGTGGATCGAAGGATTTAACGCGGAGTTGTATCGCGAATGGTGGTGTTCGCGGGACTGTCGACGATCTCTCTTCCACTTGACGGTTTGGTGCACGAGATGGCGGTTGTCGAGCCAGCCGGGCGTTAATTATTGACACGGGCTGGTTTCAGTGGGTACGTGTGACCCTGGATCGTTCCTGAACCGTTACCAGGTACAAGGATCCACGGACGTAGGAGGCGTACTGTACGCCAGGCCAGCCGAGGGTTGTCCCGTACAGGGTTACAGAGTGGGATCGACGAGGAAAGAAGAGATTAGAGGGGTCACTTACCAACGAGGGCAACGAGAGCGCGAAGCTTTAAGTGCGGATAATTAATCAAAGTCTCATTACGCCGATGTTCCCACGATCTGATCCATTGGACGGTACGGAACTTTCACCCCTCGTGTGTATCGGGTCGACATTGCGCACCTATAGATCACATCGAATTTTCCTCGAGTATACGGGGTGTCCCACCTAACGTCAGCACCTTTAATATTTCACTTATTTTTGAAGATAGACAAAACTATGAGAGGAATATATTATTCCAAAATATATAAAAATATATAATATAAATTTTCTGAAAATCAAAAGCAAGTGAGACTTTCATTTTGAACGAAGAAATTGATCCATGACGAACCAAGAATTGAACGATGAAACGAGTTCCGTAAGGTCACGCAGAAAAGAGAGCCACACGGCCACGGGTTCCATTTCACGGGGAAAAGACCACTTTGAAATGTTTCTAGCTGGTAGGACAGAGAGACCAGTTCCGTGGATATTTCAATCTAAAAACGCGTTAAAATTCAACAGCAGTCGGAGAGAACCTGGAGAGAGATGTGGGACAAAGACCGTGGCAGTCAACGAAACGGCCTCCCATGTATTTCAAGACACGCTTTTCGACGACGAGGGTCGGAACAAGCACAAAATAAATGCATCGAGCTTTGCGTCCAGGCATGAAGAAGGGGTGAAAATGTATATTCTTTCGGTTGCTGCCCGCTACAGCTCTCTTTGTTTCACGCTGTTCTGCGTTGAAGATTGGGTCCAAATGCACCCTTATTTCCTCAGTTTTATAAGTCGTGGAGAGCCTATCAACGGGATCAGAATGATTAAATTCGCGGAATATGAAACACTTTTCACCCCCCTGGAATATCTTCATATCATTCGCCATCACCCCCCTCGCTCTACTTGTCGCTAGATTAAACTTGGCGGTCCGTATCCTTGCCTGGAATTGATCATTTCTTTCTCTTCACCACGCGGAATTGAACTCTTAAAAAATATGGTTCTAACGAAGTGAGGAGAGAAGTTGATTAAAAGTATACAACGTGCTTTTACTTTTTTTAGTATGTTTGGTATTTTGGAGGTCGTGAAATGAAATAGCGTTTTTACTTTCTGTTTTTCTGCGATAGTTGCTGGAGGAGCAGAAGAAGTTCGAAGACGAGATGCGACGGCAGCTGAAGCTGCAGGAACAGGTGCACACCGATCACCTTCAAGAGGCACTCATGGTGAAAGAACGAGAGGCACAGAGGAATCTGAACCGCGCACTCAGCGAACAATACGAGGCCAGTACCCTCCAGTACAAGACGCAGCTCGCCTCCATTGTTGGCAGATTACGTGGCCTCGAAGAGGCGCTGAAGGGTAAGTTTTCTTTGCTTGTTTGTTCGTTAGGCGGAGGCGGTGCAGGGAAAACGAGGGAACTTGCGAAATTGAGAAGACATTTGGCAAACAATTATTTAATTTCGTTAACCGTTTAAAGGTCAGGATGACGCTCTCAGATACTGCTGCTTTTCACTATCTACTATTCGAATAAAATTCTACCCGACTCTGACATACACAGACGGCTTAGTCGTTGTGTCCTCCGTCATTATTTCGACCTGTGCCGCTTAATTACACCGGACAAAAACGTGCGTCTCAAAGCGTCGCGCGGTAACCTCCTGGGGGATGTTCCACGGGACGTCCGGTCTCCGAACAGCCGTTTCTCTTTCGCTTTGTGCCGTCACGGGACCACCCGGAAGTTAGATCCTGATCGGATTAAGCCGCCGGGTCCTCGCCTTTCCTCCGAGGAGAACGATCCACGGGAAATTAAGATCCAGCCCCGAGAACCGATCCGTGATTAAATTTCTTGGGACGGTCGTTTGTTCGGCTGTGTGTATCGCTTCAGGATCACTTGAGAAGCGATGGGATCGAGATTAATCCAGGGAATACTAGCGTTAATTTCTTAGTCACGTTAATGTCAACCTTCTAACGGTAAACGTATCTGACCCAAGTGAACAAAAATTCGAGTTCAAGATAACTTTTTTTTACCCGTCTGGAAGTAGCAAAAAAGAGCTTGGATCGGATCCGACCTCACCTTATCAATTATGACCTTAAAACTACCCTTACCATTCGAGGGTTAAGTAATTCTGTAAATAGTAGAATTATATATTTGCATATAAGTTTGCATTAGAATGAATCTGTCTCGAGAACGTTCATTTACGAAAGTACAGTCAGCTCTGTAAATTAGTGAGATCAACCGGTCCACGAGTACAGCCAAATAGATTTCCATTTACAAGGTTGGTCTTCGTACGCGCATACTGTATTAAAATCACCAGCAATCGCAGTAGCATTCGCTATAGCCCAGCTGGACGCAGTACCACGGAAAGTAGCTGGCCACGAAAACGGGAAGAGAACCCTCTCCAAGAGGAAGAGAAAACCGCGGTTTCAAGCTTCTCAAACTCGATATTCCAGGCAACTTTTGCTCCAGTATGCTTTTTTTTTTACCGAGGAAAAGACGCGAGAACAGCTTGTTTGTCCCGGTTCCAGGCCTGGGGGTGATATAATAACGAAGAAATGGAGATATTCACCGGCCAGGGTAAAAGAAACTCGGCGAAGTACGTAAATGTTAACGAAGTTAAATTACCGTTGGCCAAGCTTTGGGAAACAGCAGTTTCTGGGAAATCTGGTTTACTTATTGCCGCCGTAACTTGCCATGCCGGGGGTGAAGGGGGGGGGGCTGGAAGAAGAAACAGAGCATGGAAATGTTGGCGTGGCTCTACGTGACCGAATTCCGTAGTCCTCGTATTAATATTCGAACATCGTGGACCCCCATGTATCGGAAATGATATAATATATTTCCGTTCCGAACGTATTGGGAACTTCGTGTTCTCCCCCTATGAAAGTTCGCTATCGGCGATTTGTTGCGCGCTACGGAATTATTTAGCGAGGTCAGGAAACGATTTTTAACCGGTCGAACGGACGACTTCAGTAGTTACTATTGTTATAATTAAACTGTGGATTTTATGCACTTATAGCCAATAGAGCCTTAAGAGAAGAAGGCGGTTCCTATATGTACTCTAGTCTTTTGTAAATTACTTTAGAAAATATAATTTTGCATAAAAATCGACAGTCTAGTTATAATCGGGTGGACGAGATATGGTGAACTAAGGTTGGAGTTATGGTAGTTATTTACAGAGATGTAAGTAGATCAGTTCCTCGTCACTCACGCATCGACTCTGGTCATCTTGAATGTAGTAAAAATCTGTTCGGTAACCGAAAGGTCCGTTTTCGTTTTCATGGAGCCTCTATCTCCCTGTACACGACTAGGACAGACTTTCGTCCGATCTTTGACGGGATTGACTAAGTTCGAAGGAGGAGGAAATAAAAAAAGAGGATACAAGTCGCACGGGGATTCGGAGTTCTGGCTCAGTGGGGGAGGAGGCAGGCAGGGGTTGTGGGGTAAGCGAAGTCTGTCAACAACGCCGTCGGTAAAATATTGATCGAATGAGAGGGTAAACTTTGCCTTGCAAACTTTTATTAAGAGGTGAGGAGTCAAGACGTTCTGCTCGGTTAGAGGGTTGCGGGGATATACCGGTGAAAATGCTCTTGGAAGCACGGTCTTCTTGGGTGTTTATACATAAAAAAACGAACACGAAGAGGGACAGAGGAATTGAATCTGATGCGTTGGAGAGTCGGACAAAGGAAGGTAACTTTCCTCGAAAGAGAAAAGGAGGAGGTTTTTGTGGAACGGTGCTTGTGCTACGATTTTTAATTAACTTTATGGATACCGTTTGTTTGAGATTGCAACTACGGAATTAATTATGGAATTATTTGTTCGGGGGTCGTGGTACAGGTATGGAGGTCGTCGATAATCCATCCATCCTCTGTAGAACCGTAATGTACAGCACACTGTATTTTTTTTGGTATCTTGCACAAAAATTTTGTTTCATAGTGATATTAAACGTTATTAAGAAAGATGAGATTGAGTCAGGCACAAACGAGTGTCCAGGCTTTCGACAAGACTAACGTTGCCACTCACGGCCTCGTTTTCTGGAAAATCTTGGTAATACAGAATCAAGAGAGAGAGAGAGAGAGAGAGAGAGAGAAAGGGAACCGCTGTAAAAGAGAATGGGTTCTTGCCGCGGAAAATTGGCACAAGAAGATATTGGTATTTTACAGGAAATTGCTGTAAACGCGAGCATGTATTTTGCGGTGAACGGTCCTAAGGAGGTATTGCACTGTTACATAAAATCCCTATAAAACTTTCTCGACTTTTTTATGGAGAGCGCTTCGAGGAGAAGAGCCCTCTGGTTTTCCCCTCAAAAGATTACTACACGAAGTTACGATCTTCTTGCGTAGAATTTCCCGTATAAACGTATGGACACCGGACTCCTTTCGAAAAATATCCATTTTCTTACAAAGCTCTCTACAAACCTAAAAGATGGCGAAAACGGTCCCGTATTAACCAGTCAGCGAAGTTTCCAAATGAGCCCTTGTATCGCGTGACCACTACGAGAAAAACATCGGCAATAATAAATTGAAGTTGATTAATTAAATTTTATCTGCAGACCTCGGAATAACGACGATGTTCCGGGCTAGTTTCGAGAGGGAGAGACAGAAGGTTCGATAGTTCACCGGGGACAGTTCGAGAATGATAAAGGGACCGGGACACATCGGTCGAAAAAGGAGGAAAATAGAATCCCGTGTTGTGGGTTTCACCCAGAGAACCAGAAACGAACTGAACGTATTCAGCGTGTGTCGCAATTATAACTTCCTCTGTTGTCCTGTCCCTCGGGGGCGCCATTAAGGGCCATCCGAGTATTTAAGGGCGCACGCAGAAAGTTATTTGAGCTTTTCGTTTACCCGGTGGTAATTTAAAACACACCGTTTCCCTGAACCAGTCTATTTATTGTGAACTATTTTTGTGACGAAGATTATATGGGCGTATGCGAAATTACGGGCTGTCGCATTCGAGTTATTCACGGCGTCATTTCATTTTATCGCCGGGGGAATTTAATTTCTATCCATTATTTTAATTAGTGATTATACAAGGGCACAAACTTTTTGCGTAAAAATGTGTCTACATTCGAACAGAATAGTTAAATTATCGAAGAGCTTGGATTTTTCATTCGATCGTTTCTTAATCGGGATAATGGTGGCTTTACTATGAATTGTAACACACGTAGACATTCAGCTTGCGCGTATTCTTCCCTTCCCCCGGCGCGAAGAAAAACGTTCGATGGTTCGCAGCCGATTCCAATCGAACTGAAGTCACGCTCCTGTTGGAAACACCGCCGTAAAATTTTATAACGGGCTATTTCTTACGGCAAGCAAGCAGTCGTAAGGAACAAACTTGCATCGTCAGTTCTCGATGAAACAGCGTTCCCCCGTGATATATGATGCTCCCACCTTCCGATTTGCATCTGCATTTCGAGTTAAATGCGGGTCATCTGACGAGTAATGCGAGTTTAGTAAAAAATTCAATGAATTACGATACCAAGTATTTGTATTATCTAGAACCTGATCGAAAATTCTTAATAATAACCGTTCCATTATTCCCCACTGAAGGGTAGGGGTCATCCGATACGTTCGATTATACAGTAGATTTTCAATTATTCCAATATTTTCGAGGGCACGATACGATTTCGGGACAATTTAACCGCTGGGCCGACAGAAGATTAATTGAGACGGGTCTCTGTTTCGAAGCCTCCTACCGCGAAACTCAATCGAGCGGCCCGACCGTGGGGGCTCTTCTTGCTCTGGGAGGAATAATCTGTCACCGCGAAACAGACGATTCATTCCACACGCGCCTGGAGATAAATCACCGGAGAGAGATAACCTTTCGGGGCGAAAATCTCCGACAGACTTCCGTGGAGGCCAATAAAAATTGTATCGTGCGACGAAGCGGAGGGGGGATGGATAAGGGTTAACCGGTGGATCAAATCGCCCGTGTTCCTCGGCCTTAAAGAGAGTAGCTTGACCTTTAATAAAACCTTGCGGCTAAAGCCGGTCACCTAACGGGTTCCTCGATATTGTGTCGGTATCGCGAAGGACGGAACGATAAAAGGTCGAGACGACACGATCGCGAATAGACCGACGAGCGAGAAAAAGTTTTTATACGTTTTTCATTGTACATTTCGCTTTGGCCATTCAAGGCTTCGGGGAACGTAGGTGTTATATGTTACAAACAGGAAGGGTTGCAGTAAACCGAGTTTAAAAGTTATTCTACCTTCGTATGCCCTTGTAACACACGTCCTTCATACACTTTGTATTGTTTTATTCTGCGATAGGACAAAGTGAAATAGGGGACCAACTCGTTCACTAGGAAAACTGAATTTTCAGAAAAATATTCCGTTACCCTTTCATTCTCGAAAGCTTTCAAT